ATCATGTTCTGGACCTTGTTCGGGTTGCTATCTCACGCCAAGCTCGCGGATTCGGGTTTCGAACTCACCATCATGGAAGTGGTTGGCGCGAGCCCTCTCTTCTGGTGCCTCCTCATTGCGACCTTTTCCATAGTGCTGCCCTGGCTTCGCCTGCGCAAAGTGCCCGTGCGTTCGGAGCCACTTTCCGATCACGCCGTCCAGCTTCATTTCACCGGAGAAGGCCTGCCGCTGTGCGCGGCGGTTCGACTTTCAACCCGTCCTATGCTCGAATGGCACGCTTTTGCCACCATTCCGTTCGACGACGGTGGAGGATATTCCGTCATTGTGTCCAACGCTGGAGATTGGACGGCTCAACTGCTCGAGTCGTCACCGACACAAATTTGGGTTCGAGGCATCCCGACCATCGGAGTGCTTCATATGGCCTCAATATTCAATAAAGTGGTTCTGGTTGCTACCGGGTCTGGGATCGGCCCCCTGTTATCGCTGACAAACCATCGGCACCCTGCTTGTCGAATTATATGGTCAACACCAGATCCCATTGCTACATATTCCACTTCTATTGTGACCAAAGTTCGAGAAGCCGACCCGGATGCGATGATCATCAACACAACGGAGTCTGGCCGGCCTGACCTTGTCAGGCACATTCATCGTCTCTATTCCACGTCAGGTTCAGAAGCCATCTTTCTCGTCTCCAACCCACAGACGACGAGAAAGGTAGTGTATGAGTTGGAATCACGGGGTTTGCCCATTTTCGCTCCTATTTTCGACTCGTAGCCTTCTCAACGGTTCGGAAGCATATCCATTTGCCAGGGAAGGTATCGAAGGCCTGGGGTCGAGCTACTTCGATATTTCTTCCCGTACAAGAGAAATCAATCCCTCCCGGGGACATCGTTGTGGAGGATTTGCTGGCGAATGACTCGATCCGAGATGACTAAACTGGGTGTCGCCACATGGCGAATCTATCAAACATCAGGCAATGGTGGGCATAATGTATTAGCCGGTAAAGACATATTCGGTCAAATCCATAGAGTCTGGTGACGGTGAATTTACGAACCGAGGCTGAACTCGTAGATTTGATCCATACCATATTGGAGACTCTCGTGATTACATTGCTTGTATACGTCCACACGCCGCACTCCACTGCAGGGTATCATGCAAACCCACCGATTAAACATTTCTTCTTTGCAGTACGCACATCATCATCAGCGATCCTCTTTCGTTTTCGATGGTCAGATGTCCCAAAATACGCGTTCAACCCTTGTGCCTTCACAAGATGAACAATGGCAGACGGTAGCCCACTTATATGAGACCCTGGAGCAGATGTGCCGCTCATGCACATGGTTATGCTGATTTGATCTCCAGTTTCATATTGAATACGCTTGCAGAAATTGCCATTCTCATCACGGTCCCTGCCATCATCCCACGTGCAAGAGATAGGTTGTCCGTTGACGTACAGTTGAGCGCGTTCAGATGCAAGCCGAGTGAATAATGACTTGAAAGCCGGGTCGACCCCTGGTATGGAGCACAAAATGAACCCGACTCCAATGTATTTCCCATTTCGACGGGAAGGCATCCCACTCAGCTCGAAGTGAAAGAGGGAGGCGAAGGCACAGCGAGCCACGCGATCGATCGGCTCTGTCAGCGAATCATCGGCCTCGACTCTATCCAGAAGCTTTGGCATTTGACTCACGTCGTCAAGTGCATAGTCGCGATCCATTTCGTGGTCCAGACGGTGGTATTCAGGATGATGGGCGAACGCTTGGCGAACCTGCTTGTCTCTCGATTTTTCCCAGATCAAGTCCTGGATGCGAAAGGGAGCCTTCCGGGGCCTGGCGGTATGAGCACCTTCCGCGACGTCGGCATCGGGGATTGTTCCGGTGCCTAAAGATACGATTAAATCCGTCCGTGACGACGGATAGAGCATCTTCGCCTCCGACACTACAGTGCTGACCGGATCGTTCTCCAAAAGGCCCGCGTCTTGAAACGTACCCAATTGAGGAACCTGTTTGGTCGGAAAGAATCTATGAGGAAGAGTTAGTCTGATCGCGACGTTGAAACATGAATTATCACTCACGTTGGGGCGGCAGACGCAGCCCGGGCGCTGATCAGAGGTTGTCAATATCGAAGCAGACTGTACAGTATGTATGGGGATGGAATCTTACATTTCCCAAAGACGAGCTTTCCGGGCTCCTGTCCAATCTCCTCAGCCACACTTCAACCGTCAACTTGAAGGAATGTGGCACTTACCTGGGTTGAGATTATTCTGCACGGCTTTGTTGTAGTTTGTAAATAGGTGGCAGGAAGGTGTCTTCAAAACGGTGGCGGCTAACACCAGAAGTTTGGCGCCTAGTCCCGTGGCGTAGGAGCAGTCCTGCATCGTTGTTGACCTCCCCAGAAGAGACTGCAGAATCGATTCGAGGTTGTCTGGACGATAGCGGCCATCTCGAACATACCACTTCACCATCTTCGTGAGCCAAGAGACCAGAGGAATTTTGCTGGTTTTATCTTGTTCGAATGCCGCCTCCGCCAATTGCAACATCATCTGGATAGATTTGTCGACTGAGTCACCACGGTTCCACATGTTCAATGCGACGAAACTTCCTGCCAGATTGTCAGCTTTCCTTGCCCTCCCCGAGGGTCGGACATATTCACCGGAGCTGACGGCACCTACCACTTTGAAAAACTTCTGAATCGGGATCGGGAGGCCAATTCGGTCCTGAAGTCTCCTCAGCACGGTTAGTGGGATGATAGCCCGAGTTCCGCCTCCGTCGATGCTGAGGATGCTCACTCCACTGGTCGGAGGCTTAACCGCCACCGTGATGTCTCGATCCCATGCACGCTTACAGAGAAAGCATGACGAGATTACATAGGTCCAAGGCCGACTGGATAGGGTGTGCCCGAAGATTTGAATACATGTCTCGCAGAGACAGTGCCCACAGGGGAGTCGATACCGTGGTGTTCGCCGTATGCAGCACAGGCAAGTGGCCTCGCTGCAGATACGACTCCATCTGTCCACAAATTGTTGGAGTGTATGTAAATGCAGAGACGCACTGGGTACGTCTGTCCCAGAGCCCAATGAATCACAGTATTGCGACAACTTACCCTGGACGAGCTTGAGGACGGCCGAACGCAAGATGATATCCGACGATCCCTCGAAAGATACCACCCGGCCACCAACTGCTTCACGGAGAGCGTCCCGGTAAAGCGACTGAAAGACTTGGACAGAGTCAAATCCTGTGCCACGTTAACCCGCTGCTCTTCAATTTCACGAGTAATCACGTGCTCACACGCACAACTTACCGTGGCAGTCCGGGGGGTAGCTATCGATCATCAGACTCGAGGCGATGACAGGCACCACAAAGTCCGTCAGATCTTGGGCGGTATCGCAAGTCCTCAAGAGGTTCGCCAGGTGCAGCGCATGGTCTTCCGCCAATGGGTTGTGAGACCGAGAGGCTTTGATAAAATCAAACGGCTCCGAGCCCGAGGTGGAGAAGTGCTCACAGGCTGATTTGAAAAAGGCTGCAAAGTGGGTCGGAGAATACAAAGTACGGGTCTCACGTCTGACTTGCTCGGCTTTTCGGATACGCAAGAGAAGTCGATGCTGCAGGCGCTCCAAGGACCCTTGGGAACGAAATTTCTGACTGCGGGGAACGGCAACAACTTCGATAAATGAGAACAAAACAAATGGATCTTGGCTGGTCTCTTCATTCAACAACAAGAGCAGGGCTTTTTGGGCTTCGGTTTCTGCCATCGGGGTCAGTGGGATTTTGTCAGTCACGACGACCACGGAAGGTCGGTTGAAAGGTGTGGAGATAGGGACGGTCACGTCACGCAGCCAACCCGCCAACTGAGAAGCAACTCCTCGGAATCCTCCTAGGTCGGAGGCAAAGATACAGAAAAGATCGGTGAAGGGTAGAAGAAGCCGGCTATAGATTGCTTGTTCGGTGTGTTGCATATGATGAGGCTCGGTTCCACCAGGCAAGGTGCGCAAAGGCCATCTGCTTCCATCGTGGCAGCGGTGGCGGTTCGGGGTGCGACGAACCCGCTTGCTACCGACTGAACCAGCGGCAACGAGGATGGGTCTTCTGGAACTGGGCGATTCAGACACCACGTGAAGGTCAACATCTCCAACATAAGGTTTGCCCTTGAACAGGCGACTTCGAGGGATGTCGAAGAGCTTCTCGAGGGCGATCGATTTTGCTTGTTGACCTACAAATACGATGAGGCTGGGACAGGCATCATCGGGCTGCTCAGATCGTGAACTCAACATCTCCAATCTACCTGTGTCGATCAGAGACGTCTCATAGCCCTGCTCGCATACCCTGAGCCATGGATGATGGTTGCAAAGCTTCATGTTTGTTATGTTTGGTTTCTGCACAGTATGGAGGCTCCTGCTGAAGAGAAATGGTTGAAAGGGACATCACCTTCATCTTGGTCCTGCCTTTATAGCAATCTATCTTACTCCGCAATCCCAAAATAGAAGGGGCGAGATATGAATAGATACAGGAGGGCTATTTTTAGTCCGCTAGAAATTTCCCAGAGCCGTCGCTGCACACATCCGCCCAGAAGATCAATCGTCGAGAAAGTCCTCGGCGATGGGGCTATACAGAGATGCCCTCGGGTGCACGCGAGGCAACTCAGGCGCAGATGTCTCTGAGAGTCGCTTTTGAAGGTGGTGAGCCCAATTTTGGTCCAATTCTCTAGTCTCTTGCTCCAGCTGTTCAATACAAGCATTCAAAACGACATACGCTTCGAATGCTTCTCGCAGTAATTTAGTGACCGACTGCCACTTTTCTTTCCCGCGGTTGATGCTGTGCTCCAACCAAGCATTTTCCTCCGACAACCTCTCGACCACGTCCGAGTCCACCGAACTCTGAAGCTGGTCGACTTGATGAAGTAATGCGTCCACGTTGGGTGCGACTTTCAATGGACTCGGACTACAAGGCTCCGTGACAGTTCCTGTTGTAGAACTCATCTTTGTATACAATAGAGGGACTCCTGGACAGGAGTTTTCGGATCTCAAAGTCGATGACAAAAAGGTTGGGGAAAGGCAGTAATGCTCTTGTGTCCTTCCTAGCCTGAAGGGGCGAGAAGCTAACCAACACGGGATTATATAGACTACACTCGACACAACCTGTTTTAGTCGAAGCAAGCCAAGACCAGAACAAGAGGGCTGCAGGGTCACCCCACAGGCTATATGTACTGTAGACTCAACCCCGGCACGATAGAAAGTATGTCTCGGATGGACCTGATTCAGGGCCAACATCAGAACATGTCAGCTCGCGATGCAATGGTCATTGAGGCGGACGCCATTCCACAGCGCTACAACGTCCTTGCCTTCTTATCATCCTGGTTGATTCACACCAGCTACCTGTTCCTCCCGGGCACATTCACCTCTCTTGAGAGGCACCTTGATGACGGGAGCGGCCGAAAAGTGATTGAGGTGGTGAAAAATGTCCCACTACTCTGGCTTGCCGCGATATGCTGCATTGTTGGGACGGTTGGACTGGGCTATCTATGGTGGACATGGAATTCTAATCCGGTTTGGCTCATTCGAAATGTGTTCTTGTGAGTGGCAGGCCCAAATGCAGTACATGACAGCATGATCCCGAGACGGCTGATCATGAGTACTCTAGGCCAGAGACAGCCAGCTCGTTTCTTGGCTCTTTAAATACGCTCATCAATGTCTACTCCGCACAGGATGGATTTTGGTCACCAACGGCGGTTGTTGCCATGACCATCAACACAATATTTCTCGTGGGAATGCTGGGATCTTTGCTAATTTACAAGTATCAGCTCCATGTGATCGATCAATCCCATTTTGGTAGCTCTTCTCGATGGAACTTCCGACGCAGATAAGCTGCCACAGAGGTTTTCTGAGCGTTGACACCTACAATAAAAAGAACTGAACACTATAAAGCCCACTCCCGATATATTTCCAACCTTACAATAACGCCTCCATGTCCTATTTGTGAACTGCATAATTCGCCGACTCAGGGTATACTGTATCTCTCACTCTTGGATCACTTCAAGCTCCCTCTTCTGGGCGCGCGTAACTCGTCGTTCTTGGTTCCCCCTCAAATCCATGCGTGTGGTGGATCTCGGTTCGTGACGGCCGTCATCTTTGGCAGGGCCCGCAATATTCGTGCACATATCAGCCTTACTATGGAAGTAAAGACGCACAATGGGCTTCTTTCGGAGGGTGTATCTCGACATGTTCGGCGAGGCAACTCGGTCGGACTCTGACCGCGGACAATGCTCTGGACAACAACACCTTTGGCAACGATGACACCGAGGTCGCAGTTGGCGAGTGCTATTATTTCTTCCCCCATCCGATGTCATATTGAAAGCTAGCGGTTGACCTCGTCGGGATTTTGTAGTGTCTGCTTCGGTTGATACGATATAGATGTCAGGCGATGAATGCAGATCCAAGTTCAAGAATGTGATTTCAATGTCTCGGTGACGGCTTGATCCTGTCCCAGGGAAAGTATTTATGAACGTATCACAGTAATCGATGAGAAACTGACCGTATGATGAGAGGGGTGTATCCAGGTCTGGAACATAGAACTGGTCCTATATAGAGACGCATCAGATATATTTTTGTGTTCGTGGGTCAAGTCGGTATTTTTAGTAAACAAGGTGTGCTATCTTTATTCCTACCCCCAGCGGCCTCCATGTGTATTTTAGCCGTCCAAGTCGGTCTCTTGTTGTTCCCTCATCATATATCTGAAACCCTCTGCATGATCAAGTCCTGTGCTGGTCATCTCAATTGTCATGACCGAGGTGCACCACCTCCACAGCCATCACTCCTCCTTGTTACAAGATGGAGATTCCTGAGGTGTCTCCGTACTCGACGTTCGAAAGTCTTTCGGGAAGGACCACTGAGGTACCGCGTAACATTGATTCTGTACTAATGTCAGTACCCTACTATGATCACGAATATGAGGGAGTTGTCAAGTACTAGGGCTTGGTCCGAAAATGGTGATTTGTCGTCTTCTGCACAGCTCAAAATATACGACCGTCCACTCCTCCGGATCAGAATGTAGACTTCAGCATGACATCGTTGGTGCAGGTCGTACCCACTCTTGAAGATGCTTTTCTTGCGTCGATAGAATCGTGTTCGTTCACGTTTGGCATTTTGACGATAAATGCGTAAACGAGACTCCGATTCCGGTATTGTGCTAGATAACTGCATTCTATAGATTGAGACAGGGGGACGGTACGCTGTTGTAGAATTGCAGGTCAGAAATTGACACCAAAAGAAAGATCACCCTTGCAAAGGAAAACGAAGAAGGACGGGGTTCTGAATCTCCTCATGTTATATATACAAGATGATTAGACAGAATGAGGCAAGTGCCCGCAATGCAGTAGCAAGGATTTTATTCATAATTTGGGCCAACCTGTTCCAGCCAATTCCGGTGACTTTCTTGTAATCTTCTTCTGTATGCTGGCTGTCTCTAGAGGATGAATATACCATCATACAAATTACATTACAGTGAGAGTGGAGCTTTCCACCGTGACGGCTCCGCACCATGATAATATAATGTGCTCTCGTTACCCGAGTAAACGGCACTACAGCCAACCCATTCCATGTGAAGAATGAAAGCATTTTCCAAAGTGATTCCCAGACTCCGACAGCAACCTGCAGCATCTGACAAGCATACTGTACTATCCGGATGGACGAGAGAAAGTCTCCTTCGACCGAATATGACCTTCCGACGCCACAGAATACCTCCAGTGAAGCCAATAAACGCCACGGTCAGTGCTATCGTTTTCCTGAATTACAGGTGAATCGACACCATCTTCCTGAAATACAATCCTATCGAAACGACGCCGCCGCCAGCATGGAAATCCGCGCCCTGGAGGAGTATAATCGGCAGCTGAAAGCGGAAGTGAGAAAATATTACAAACTACAAACCATATCGCACAAGCTGCTTGAAGAGGTACGAGCTTCGACAAAACGACTCAAAGACGCCGTCCTCGAATTTCGGCAAGCTCATAAATACATTGAAGCATGTTTTCACGAAGAGGAGAATCTCCACGAAGCGGAGTTCTTGAGAAGTCACCAATTTTGACCATGGCTGTGTGCAATGCTGGAACCATGTCTCTACTCAGTATGTCCCCGGACAGTGGAAAGAGACACTATCTGGAACCAATATTTGGGAAGATTTCTTGACGTATATCCTCCAGTATTGCTTCTGACGGCGGGATGAGCTCGGCCCATTCCTTCCGTTGGGCAGCTTTCTCTTCTGGACCTAGATCAATCTCTTTGTTTTGAACAACAGCCAGTTTGGACAACTGTTTGCTCTGTAAATCGAGGAGGGCTTCGGCTTCGTAGAGTTGTATATGACATTCGTCCATGTGACCTTCTTGCCGGTTGTCTGCTCTCTCCTGCCTCCTGGATTCGTACTCCTTCCTCTTCTGCCGGATTTGGGCGATTTCTTGACGATTATCACCATTGAATCGACGTCCTGAACCTCTGTTGCCTTTAAATGCGTAGCGACGTTCGAGACGGATTTTCATGTTAGGTGCCTCAGTCGACTTTGTTATAGTAAATGCCAAATTGTGCCTTGACGTTGTCGGTTAGGAAAGAACGATCGCGAACAAGCGCTATTCACAGTTTGTGTGGCAGTGGTCCCAGATATACACTCTCGACTCGGTCATGGCCTTACCCACAGTCTGCAGAGCTGACGCTCCTTATGGACAATGTTTCTCGCCATTGTCTAAAAAATAGCCAATCTATGTTGAACTGCGGGATCATACAAGATCGAAGAGACCAATTCATGGTACTGTAGACTGACAAATCTCACGCAGAATCCGTTACGCGGCACTTCATCGACACCGCATCATACATACTATGCTTGGAATTACAGTAATGACAGTCAGGCCCCTTCAATTCTTCTTCTCTTCACATCAATATCCCTACTGTCTTTAATGCCCGCTCGATACGCTCCTTTGTCCCGAACCGTTCGTTCTCGGCGCCTATCTTTTCCGAGCTCCACGTTCTGCGACTTCAAGTACTCGCTTGCAACCTTCTCCGCTGATCGACGGAATCGCACCAACTCGAGACTCGTATTCCAGGAGTCAGCTGGGATACCATTGTCAAGGTCATCGTCGGCCACAGGCTTAGATGTCGGTCCCTGAGTGGGCAACATTTGGCGAAGCTGTTCCTCAAAGTCTGCGTTCAGGTCCAGCGGCTTCTCGTCCTCTTCCTTGAAAGTCACTTCGGCCTCAACTTCGTCCCCATCACTATCGTTCCCTAGGCACCCTAAGGCTAAGCTCTCCGCTTCCTCATACTTATCGATTGAAGCATCTGATTTGCCACTATCGTGGCTAACACCTGCAAGACCGGGC